CCCATCAGACCCTCAGTTCCAATTTTTGGTTTCCAAAAAATGGCCCTATCATTAAAAGTGCTTTTGTCAGTAATTGTATACCTCAGGGTTTGAAATACTGTCTCTACAGTTGGAAATTTCAGTGAGCAAGTTTACAGTGCTAACAGATGGCCTTCTGTTAATGGAATGCTTTCTCTAACTGGTAGCATGGCTGGTGACAAAGATGTAACTTAGGGAGACTGGTTAATGTTGATAATGCTGGCTACCACCATAGCTATCAGGCAGTGCACGAGGCTCCACAGGCCTTTTTCTCCTTAATCCTCACAACATTGCTGTGAGGACAGGCACTTGTCCCCATGTTCCACAAGAGCAAAGGAGGCTCAGAAAGACAAAGTGATGGAGGTAAGATTCAGACCCAGAACTGTGTGACAGACATCACACTGCCTCCTTGATTACATAATAACAATGTTTTAATTCAAGTATAACATAGAATAAAGCTCAGTGGATTATTACAAAGTGAGCACACTTGGGTAACCACCACCCAGATGAGGAACTAGAACATTCCATTAAAAGGAATAAAATACTGGTATATGGTACAACATGGGTGAACTTTGAAACCATGCTAAGTGAAAGAAGCAGACACAAAAGGCCACTATTGTATGATTCCATTCATAAGAACTATCAAAAATAGGCAAATCCATAGAGATAAGAAGTAAATTAGTGGTTGCCGGGGGTTAAGGGGAGGAGACTGGGGAGTGACTGCTAATAAATATGGTGCTTCTTTTTGGGGTCATGGAACTGTTTTGGAATTAGATAGTGGTAATGATGCATAACTTTGAATATACTAAAAACCACTGAATTGTATAATTTAAAAGGGAGAATTTTATGTTATGTGAATTATATCTCAACTTAAGAAATTCTAAGAAAAAAAAATAGAATATTGCTAGTTCTCCAGAAGTCCTCTCATGCCCCTTCCAGTCAGCACCATCATTTTGTTCCCCAAAGTTACATCGCTGTCCTGACTTCTAGCGTCATAAATAAGTTTGCCAGTTTTTTAATTTTATGTAAATGAAATAATTTAGCAAGCATTCTTTGGTGTTTGGCTTCTTTTACTCAATATTATGTCTGTGAGATTCATCTATGTTGTGTGTAGCTATAGTTTATCCTTTTTCATTGCTATATAGTATTCCATCGTATGACTATATGATTTATCCATTCCCATATGGATGGACATTTATATGTTTCCAGTTGCAGATTAGGTTTATTATGAGTAGTGCTGCTGTGAACATTCTTGTACATATTTCTTGGTGTACATTTCTAATGAGTATATGCCTAGGAGAGATCCTTGGTGGTGCAGTGGTTAAGCGCTTGGCTGCTAATTGAAAAGTCAGCAGTTCGAACCCACCAGCTGCTGC